CATACACTAAGTAATGTATTTCAGATTTCCAAAATGTAGACGGTGCCCTCTAGTGGAGTTTGTCACCTGAAGCGTACAATATGTACCCTGAATAACATATTTTAGGATTGAAAAAATGTAGATATTGCTCTCTAGAGGATTTGTCATGTGATATGTACAAAACGTACCCTAAGTAACATATTGTAGAATAGCAAAAATGTAGACAGTGCCCTCTAGTGGATTTGACATCTGAAACGTGTTACCAAATGGACATTAAGTAACTTATTTTAGATTTCCAATATGTAGACAGCGCCGTCTAGTACATTTTTTCCTTTAAAATGTACAAAACATACCCTAAGTAACATGATTAAAAAAGGTAGATATCCCTTTCTAGTGGATTTGTTGTCTGAAATGTACAAAACATACCCAATGTAATGTATTTTGGGATCACAAAAATGTAGACAGTGCCCTCTAGTAAATTTGTGATCTGACACTTGTGACAAAGCATACATTAAGTTATGTATTTTAGATTTGAAAAATGTAAATGTTGCCCTCTATTGGATTTGTCATCTGACATGTACAATATGTACCCTTAGTAATATATTTTAGGATTGAAAAATGTAGATAATGCTCTAGTGGATTTGTCGTATAATATGTACAAAACATACCCTCAGTAACATATTTCAAGATCACAAAAATGTAGACAGCACCGTCTAGTGGATTTGACATCTGAAATGTACAACAAAATTCATCCTTAATAACATTTCTGAATTACAAAATTGTAGACAGCGCCCTCTAGTGGATTTGTGATCTGAAACGTGTGACAAAGTATGCATTAAGTTATGTATTTCAGACTGCAAAAATGTAATTATTGTTCTCATGTGCATTTGTCACCTGAAACGTTCACAATGTACCCTAAATAACATATTTCAGAATCACCAGTATCCAGAGTGCCCTCTAGTAGATTTGTCATCTGAAAAGTACAATATGTACCCTAAGTGAAATATTCCAGGGTTGCAAAAATGTAGACAGCGCCCTCTAGTGGATTTGTTGTCTGAAATGTGCAACAAAACACAGCCTAATTAACATATTTCAGATTTGCATTAATGTAGACAGCGTCCTCTAGTGGACTTGTTCAGCAAATTGTGCTCAGAGCAATTCGTTTTGCAGTCTAAAGCCTGGTTTATAATTCTGCGTGAACCACAGCGCATGCAACGCGCGTAGCCCTGCATTCATACTTCTGCGTTTTTGTCGCTCTGCAATAACTCTTCTGAAACGCTAGTGGGCAGTGAGGTGTTAATGTTCCTCTGTGTCGAGTTTCTTTGCTGGTGTTTTGCTTTTCCTGAACTCTTCCTGAATGTAAAAGTTGCTCAAACTCGCTCATTTTGAGGCAGGAACCGGCGGACGTGCAACAACTTTAACTATGAGGTAAACACAAAGCAAAACTTTCCATCCGGAGCTCCTTCAGGGGACTCCATACTTGTAAACACTCGCTCCATCGGGCTCGCACAGCTCTTGGCCCCGCCCACACTTGTCAGCGTTACTAAACCAACCAATCACAGAGCTTGTGCTATGCATCGTTGGGACGTGTAGTTAAATTTTTTGAGAGGTGCGCGTCAACGACGGCCACGGCGTAGGGTTATGCGTCAACGCTGTAGCATACGCATGCGCTTGATGCAGAAGTATAAATCAACCTTAAGACACGCATTTCCTATAAGCCTGGACTGAAAAATGTGGAATAATTTCAGAAAGATTTTCCTGTTTTTTATTTCAGTGACTAAGAAAAGCGTCTCAATTTTAACGTAATATCTGAATATACAATGCTATATAGTCAGTCAATATAACGCCCACATCAATAATCTGACTCAATCAGCAAACTGTACTGAAGATCTCAGAGGCGGTGTTAGTGTTGTTTACTGGCCTGAAGCCAGTGGCGTAGCGGACGGGCCCGCAGGGCACGCACCGCGGGGGGGCCCCGCGTGATTAGGGGACCCCGCGTCGTCGTGATTTTCAATAATTAAAAATCCACCGGCGAACGCAATAATCAAACTCTTGGGAACAACTGTGGTCGGAACCAAAGTTCACAGGTCTGTGTTCTCTGAACATCTCTCAAGCGGTGGACTACTTCATTCTGATTGCTTGCCGCCAATGTTGCCAACTTAGCGACTTTGTCACTAGATTTAGCGACTTTTCAGACCCCCTTAGCGACAAATCTAGCGACTTTTTTGTGTGTTATTGGAGATTTTTTTTTTGTAGAATGTCATTTGTCCATACTGTACCGTCCCTACTCTTCTCAACGAGCTGCGTGTGACGCCGCCGGCCCCTCCCCCGCCTCACAGCACTGACAGACGCCCCAGTCAGTCCTCTACAGCAGCCTCTCCCACCTGCAGCTCGAGAGCAGATCACCCCTCTGCGTACCGACGACAAATGATTTAGCACAGGCAGTGTGAAGGTATTCCCCTTGTACAGTCAAACCGATCTACTTCTACTTTATTTTAACAATTTAATTGGACCGTTCATTCTTTTCTTGTTCACAATCACAGATATTAGTGACAGTTTCTGAACTTGTCTGAGTTTATTCCATATGAGAGATTACTGCACATTCACTACACATCTATACTGACATACTGTATTCAAACAGCAATACATTTAGTTAAATAAACATGCGTATATAAAGTGTAGTGCAATTATAAATACCCCTTTATTAACCATAGGCTGTTAAACAAACAGAAACGGTAGAACTTGATGACGTCAGTGATATGCAAATTGACGTATGACGTATCCCCCCCCCCCCTTCATCAGGGGGCCCCGTCAGCGATCCCTGCAGGGGGGCCTCTGCATTTTGCGCTACGCCACTGCCTGAAGCTTCATATAAACACACACGATCATCTCCATCAGCAGTTATTCATCTACAGTCATCATTATATTACTGTTCTCTTTAATGCAGCCCTTAAAAATGCTTAATGTCATTACAAACTCAAAGAGTGTAAAAATATCTGTCATACAAACTTCAAGAGCTCAGCAAATTAATGCTTATGAAAAATCTATATAATCCAGAAATCAAGTTCTGCCCTTTATCACTTCAAACCTGAGAGATTATACTTTTGTCAAAACTTAGTAAAAAAAAAAAAAATATATATATATATATATATACACACGGTTAAAGACAACATTATTAGCCGCTCTGTGGAATAATTTTAATTACTATCTTTTTAATAACATTTAATACCTGATTTCTTTTATGTAATATTTTACTAGCCATTTTGCAAGATACTTGTATTCAGCTTATATTTGTTATTGTGTTCAGCACTTTTTTCTAGGTATGCACAGTATTGTAGCGGCAATATTGACATATATATATATATACACATACATAAATATATATATATATATATATATATATATATATATATATACATACACATACATAAATATATATATACATACACACACACACACACACACACACACACACACACATATATATATATATATATATATATATATATATATATATATATATATATATGATTTATTTAAACACAATTGACCCTGGGCGAAGCAGTGGCGCAGTAGGTAGTGCTGTCGCCTCACAGCAAGAAGGTCACTGGGTCGCTGGTTTGAGCCTCGGCTCAGTTGGCGTTTCTGTGTGGAGTTTGCATGTTCTCCCTGCGTTCGCGTGTTTTTCCTCCGGTTTCCCCCAGTTTAAAGACATGTGGTACAGGTGAATTGGGTAGGCTAAATTATGAGTGTGTGCGGGTGTTTCCCAGAGATGGGTTGCAGCTGGAAGGGCATCTGTTGCGTAAAAAGTTGCTGGATAAGTTGGCGGTTCATTCCGCTGTGGCGACCCCGGATTATTAAAGGGACTAATCTGACAAGAAAATGATTGAATGAATTGACCCTTCGCTAAGCCCTGCCCTCCTTAGTTACCGTTGCTTCACCTGTCAAGCTTTCGTGCCTGGCACATCTAATACAATGTGTATGCGCCGGTGTCAGACATTGCCAGGAATATAATTAGTAGTAATTAGTGCAAAACTAATTCTTCAGCCAATCATGGGCCCCTTTCTTCCGTGGGCCCTGGGCCTTCAGCCCTACCTAGTCCTTAAACTAATCCGGCCCTGTGCATGCTTTAGTCTTTTGTTTCACAAGCTGCGTGTTCGAGTCTTGTTTTACGTGAGCACATGGCTTGTGTTGACTCTGTGTCATGTGACCTCCTGTCTATTGTCGAGTCACAGTCTCCTTGTTAACCCATTATTTATGTATTCAGTTCACCTGTTTGTTTGTTAATTCTTTCTCTTTATAGTCTCCTCATGTCGGCTGTCCTGTGCCAGTTCGTCTCACGTCATTATTCCAGTCGAGTCTTGTCTGTCCTGTTGTGTCCAGCCCAGTCAGGTTAGTTTGTTTAGTTGTATGTTAATGTTTTCCCCCTCTGGGTTGTTTTTGTTGCCCTTTTGTTTTGTTTTATAATTAATTCCTCCTTTCCTGAAACGTGACAATAATGGTATTTTGATTTTGGTTAATGTTTAGTATGTTGCTTGTTTTATGTGTGGCAGCAGTCGGACAGAAAATAATAGTTGGCAATACATTTCAGAGATAATCGTAATAATAAATCTGATTCATAATGCGCTTTTCATTAACTTACAGCTCTACAACATTCATTTTCTTTAAGGCGTAGTCCCTTTATACATGTGGGGTTGCCACTGGAGAATGAACCTATTTCAGCATATGTTTTACACAGTGAATGCCATTCCAGCTGCAACCCAGTACTGGGAAACACACATACACACACTCATACACTACAGCCAGTTTAGTTCATTAATTCCCCTATAGTGCATGTGTTTGGACTGTGGGGGAAACCGGAGCACCCGGAGGAAACCCTCGCTAACACGGGGAGAACATGCAAACTCCACACAGAAACACCAACTGACCCAGCCGAGACTCAAACCAGCGACCTTCTTCGCTTAAAAAAGTGTTGCATACAGAACTGTTGCAAACAATTTATTTGTGTTGAATTTAAACAAACAAATTAAGTTTATCAATGTTGAACTTAATTTGTTTGTTCAAATTCAACACAAATAAATTGGTTACAACCACGTAACGTAGTAAAATTGAGTAAATCCAAGGAATCATTTTTGAATAATTTTTTTCAGTGTTGCTGTGAGGCGATCGTGCTACCCACTGTGCCACCGGGATGCCCTTAATTTTAAACGTGCATAGTAAAATCCCTTAATAATAATCAGTAAAAACAATAATATACAATAAATAAAGTGCATCCCTATTGGTTTCTTAAGGGGGCTAATAATATTGACCTTATCAGTTATTACATTTAGAATACACGTCTTCAGGTCAGTAAAGTGCTGCAGTTGTGCATCAGTGTTTTCATTGGTCATTCAGTCCTCCAGTCAGCCAATCAGACAACAGAACAGCAGCATCACCATGGTTACACTCAACTGGTGTTGATGTTGTTGTGTATCCACAGTCAGCCAATCAGAGCCCAGAACAGCAGTATCACCATGGTTGCGGTCAGCTGTTGATGATGTTGCGCTGTGTCCGCATTCAGCCAATTAGAGTCCAGAACAGCAGTATCACCATGGTTACATTCAACTGGTGTTGATGCTGTTGTGTATCCACAGTGAGCCAATCAGAGCCCAGAACAGCAGTATCACTATGGTTGTGATCAGCTGTTGATGATGTTGCGCTGTGTCCGCATTCAGCCAATCAGACTCCAGAACAGCAGTATCACCATGGTGACGGTGAGCTGATGCTGTGTTGTCTGGTTGTAGTCAGCCAATCAGAGTCCAGAACAGCAGTATCACCATGGTGACGGTAAGCTGATGCTGTGTTGTCTGGTTGTAGTCAGCCAATCAGAGTCCAGAACAGCAGTATCACCATGGTAACAGTGAGCTGATGTTGTGTTGTCTGGCTGTTGTCAGCCAATCAGATTCCAGAACAGCAGCATTGCCATGTTACCTTGAGCTGGTTTTGATGCTGTGTTGTGTGTCCTTAGTCAGCCAATCAGACTCCAGAACAGCAGAATCACCATGGTGATGGTGAGCTGATGCTCTTGTCTGGTTGTAGTCAGCCAATTAGACTCTAGAACAGCAGTATCACTATGGTTGTGATCAGCTGTTGATGATGTTGCGCTGTGTCTGCATTCAGCCAATCAGAGTCCAGAACAGCAGTATCACCATGGTGATGGTGAGCTGATGCTCTTGTCTGGTTGTAGTCAGCCAATCAGATTCCAGAACAGCAGCATTGCTATGGTTACCTTGAGCTGGTTTTGATGCTGTGTTGTGTGTCCTTAGTCAGCCAATCAGACTCCAGAACAGCAGTATCACCATGGTACCGGTGAGCTAGTACTGATGCTGCATTATATGTTTGCAGTCAGCCAATCAGAGTCCAGAATAGCAGTATCACCATGGTTACGGTCAGCTGTTGATAATGTTGCGCTGTGTCCGCAATCAGCCAATCAGAGTACAGAGCAGCAGCATTGCCATGGTGAAGCTCAGCTGTTGCATTAATTTCGTTCTCCAGTTAGCCAATCAGAGCTCAGAACAGCAACATCGCCATTGTAGCAATCAGCTGGTACTGATGCTGCACTATATGTCTGTAGTCAACCAATCAGAGTCCAGAACAGTAGGATTGCCATGGTTACATGCAGCTGGTGCTGATGTTGTGTTGTGTGTCCACAGTCAGCCAATCAGACTCCAGAACAGCAGCATCACCATGGTAACGGTGAGCTGGTGCTGATGCTGCTCCGTGAACCCGCTGACGCTCTGCTCTGTGCACTGCATGAGCGGCTGCTGGAAGGATGATGGTCTGCGCTCGGGCCGGTCGGGACTGGAGCCGTCGCTGGGTCTCTGGCCGTTGAACAGCAGCAGTCGGCCGTCCTGCAGCCGCTGCGAGCGGAAGATCTCGAACTCTGTGTGCGGCAGCCGGATGCCCAGAGCCGCGCAGCCCTGAGTCGCCGTCACGTCCTGCTGCTCGCCCAGCCTCCAGGAGCCGCGGACACCACACTGAGCCCCGGGGGAGAGGTTCAGCAGAGACACGGTCGACACATCCAGAGGGAGAACACACACCTGCTGCACTGTACACACACACACACGCACACACACACACACACACACACACACACATGCACAAACAGAAATTAAACAATGTTTACATTTTTGTGTATGACAACTGTTTTTTAGAGTGTACTATTTTAATGTTCTCTCTCTCTCTCTCTATCTATCTATCTGTCTGTCTGTCTGTCTGTCTGTCTGTCTGTCTGTCTGTCTGTCTCTCTGTCTGTCTGTCTGTCTGTCTGTCTGTCTGTCTGTCTCTCTGTCTGTCTGTCTGTCTGTCTCTCTCTCTGTCTGTCTATCTGTCTGTCTGTCTCTCTGTCTGTCTGTCTCTCTGTCTGTCTGTCTCTCTGTCTGTCTGTCTGTCTGTCTGTCTGTCTCTCTGTCTGTCTGTCTGTCTGTCTGTCTGTCTGTCTGTCTGTCTCTCTGTCTGTCTGTCTGTCTGTCTCTCTCTCTGTCTGTCTATCTCTCTGTCTGTCTGTCTGTCTGTCTGTCTCTCTGTCTGTCTGTCTCTCTGTCTGTCTGTCTGTCTGTCTGTCTCTCTGTCTGTCTGTCTGTCTGTCTGTCTGTCTGTCTGTCTGTCTGTCTATCTATCTGTCTATAAACAAATGTCTATCATTATTCTGGCATATAGTAAATGTAAATCATTCAGGTAATCCCAACAGACCTAAAGTAGGAAACGTTTAGTGTGATTTACCATCAGATTTTATAAAACAGGGTTGTGTTCCTTTTTTTAGAGTGTGTGTAAACTTCTGCTTTCAACTGTATATAAATGTGTGTGTGTGTGTGTGTGTGTGTGTGTGTGTGAGACCTGTGAAGATGTACTCAGTAGCTCCGCTGATGCGTGCTGACTCTGCTCCTCTGCTGTATGCTCCTCTGGCCGTGATGCTGAAGGTTGGGTGTCTGCAGGCCGGATCAGAGTAATGATAGTAATGTCCCTCCCAGCTGCTGTTGCTGTCGTGGAAGATGAAGTGTCGAGTCAGGAACTGCACCTCAGGCCGGACCTCGCAGCGCCGGGAAGCCCACTGACCTTGCAGGACCACAGGGAGAACCGGGAGAACGGGCAGAACCGGAGGATGAAACTCGTCTGAGCGAGACACCATCCGGCAGACCAGACAGCGGCCATCATGATTCTGAAAACACAACATTACACTGTCAGACTCAGAAAACTGAAGATTACACTCAAACTGAGAAAAACCAAACGCTCAAACACAACAAACACTTAATATAATACACAAACATGGAGAAGACTGAAAATGATGCTCTCAAATGCCAAACATATAACAGTGTGCATGAAGAAAATCACACGCAGGGCTCTATTTTGACGGTCCATGCGCAGAGCACAAAGCGCAGGGCGCAAACGCTTTCAGGGTGTGTCAGAACGCATTTTTGCTAATTTAAGGACGGGAAAATCCGCTTTGCGCTGTGGCACATGGTCTAAAAGGGTTGAGTTTATTCTCTTAATGAGTTATAGGTGTGTTTTGAGAATAAACCAGTCAGAGTCTCATCTCCCATTCCCTTTAAGAGCCAGCTGCGTCGGGCCATAAGCGCATTCGCTATTTACAGGACGCAAAGTGGAAAAACTGAGCATTTCACAAGCAAACAGTTAACAGTTAACAGAAAACAGTTAAGAATGAGAGATAATAGATCTACTTTCACATTCACTCTTGGATAGGGAAACCTTTCCGCACAGACATCAATTAGTCTTTAAATAATTAATTATAATTAATTATTTATAATTAATTATAAATATTCGTGTCAAAACTATTTCTAAATTCAGTTCTAATCTCCAGCAAACTAATAAATGAACAATAATAATGAAGTGTGCTCAAAATACTGAGTTATATCCTAAAACACATATCCTAAAACCTGACAGGTGGGCAAATCTAAGCTTGTTTTTAATAAAAAAATATAAATATGGATATAATAAATAATACTGCTAATAATAATAACATTATACAAAAGCAAATTGTTATGAATGAACTGAAAAAGCCTCCCGAGATGAAGAAGACATAAAAGCAGTGATTTTTCATATTTATGTCGGCTAGAAAATAATATGTTTTGTAATATTTTAATCCTTTATATTCATATTCTATATCTATTCTTATTATATCCTATATATATCCTTAATATTTAAAAGTTTTCATATGTAAAGATATTTGCCTATTGCTCTCTTGTGTGTATTAAGCAGTGTGTAAGCGAGAGTTTAGACCGGGTTAGTTTTGGTCTAATGAAAAATCTATTATAGTTTCTCAAAATAGCAACGCGCCAGCGGTCCGCCTCAGAACGCCATCCATTTTTAGACCAGAACGCCTATGGGCGCACAAATGAGCGCTAATGCATTTGCTATTTAAACAGCGTAGCGCAACGCCTCAAAATGACTCTTGGGCCAAGCTGAAACTACCAAAAGACTACTGCGCCACGCCTTGCGCCACACTGCGCCGGGTGTATGATAGAGCCCTCAATCTGCAAAAATAAAAATGATTAACTAAAACCGCCAAAATTTGAAATGATGCTCTAAAACAGGGGTCACCAAACTTGTTCCTGGAGCATCGGTGTCCTGCAGATTTTAGCTCCAACCCTAATCAAACACACATGAACCAGCTAATCAAGGTCTTATGCTGCGGTCACACTAAAATTTGTGTGTGATATTCTGTTAGACAGCGCTGTGAAAAGGGGCGGGAATAAACACGATTATTAGACATTAAAAAGCGAGCGATTGCTCCATGTTTTACATTTCTGTCCAGAGAGGTCGTGTTTTGATCCTCGACTGGTCTCACGCAGTCAAGTGACGCGATTTCGGAGGTCAGAGTTCACCAAGCTTAAACTTTGCACCGCAGAAACCTGCGAAACTTGACGCATGACCCTGCATTTCCGGTCTGACGCATTCGCCTGCGTATGAATGGAAGTTTATGGGGAGAAGAGTGAAGTGTGACCGCAGCTTCACAAGGTATACTTGAAACCTCCAGGCAGGTGTTGAGCTATTGCTATTGAGACACCCTGAAATTGAACTAAAATCTGCTTTTAACATACTATATCTGTATTTAAAAAAATATATTTAGCTACAACTAGAAATACACTTGAACCCTAATTTTAAACATTTCATTATATTCATGACTAATTTAAAGTATAGTAGTAATATATAGTAGTAATATAATAGTAGTATATAGTACTACTACTATTATATTACTATATAGTAGTAATATAATACAAATTGTAAATAAAGTGTGCTAAATACTGTATTAAAAGTGCTCTATTTTCCCAAACTAATTTTGTATTTAATGTACTAAAAATTAGTATTAAGGACATCTAAGTGTACTCAACAGTACTATTATGAGACACCATGAAGCTGATCTAAAATGTGCTATTAACATACTAAACATTTATTTAAATAATATATTTTGAAGGCAAACTGTGTGTACAAAGAAAACAGCATCTGTGCTTCATCAAAACACTTTAATCTTTTTGTGCAATAAACCACAAGTCCAAAAATACCTTATGGGAGAGAACAAAAACATAGCAAAAACTGAGAACACAAAAATATAAATAAGATGCAACATTACAGCACATATGTGAAATGTAAAGACATTTTGTGTAAATGTACTTCTACTACAATACATTACTAATAGATTTTTAATAAAGTCAATTTAATGTACACTTAAAATGACCACACTCAAAATAAAATTAAGTGTTAGTGATAATATTGCATTCATATTAAGTGTACTTAAGTACAGCTTTTGGGAAAATGTACTGCTACTACAATACATTACTAATACATTTTTTTATATATTAACTTATTTTAAACTTAGGATTAGTATGTAAACAGTGTACTAAAATCAACTCATGTTTAAAGCATTTAAAGCACACTTTTGAAAAACACTCTAATAAAACTCTTCTGGATGTTTTCTCTGTAGTGTACTTTATTGTAGTACACTAAACATTTATTTAAGTATTTCTGGTATTTAGTATACTTTTGTCAAGTGTAGTAAAGTCCTACTGAAGTATAAACATACTTTTAATCAGTATATTTATAGTGTAAAACCATCAAACTTTTATTTAACACAAAAAATTACAATGTACTAAAAATGTATTTGCGTTATTTAAGTGTATTTTAGTTGCATTTAAGTTTTTTTTTTTTTCACCTGGGTATGCATATTAAGATTTGATCACTTAGTGAAATTGTACTGCTGCTTGAACATGTTACAGTGAATATGCTCATACTTTCCTCCTCTTTGTTGTAGTTTTACAAAAAGTGAAGTTTACTTATAAACATATTTCGAGAGGATCACGTGCTTATGATTGTTCACAGCTGTTCCAACTTTAGCTAACGACTGATTATCCTATCAGACGATCCGTAACCCACTATCAATAACCAGACTTTTCTCATCTCAATATCTTCGTCTTGAAGAAACCCCCCCCCACCCAACCCTACTTTCCCTCCTTTCAAATGAGCGTCACGGTGGCCAGAGATTAGCGCTGTTGCCTCACAGCAAGAATGCCCCTGCTTTAATTCCCTTCCAAACCAGGCGACACTTCTGTTCTGTTTTGCTCGTTCTCCTCGTGCTCACTTGGGTTTTCCCCGGGTCCTCCAGTTTCCTCCCACAGTTCAAAAACAGGCACCCTGAACAATTAATCCAAAGTATTTTAGCTAAGCTCTGAGTACACCTTCCAGCATCCATATCAGACACTTAGCTACAATAAGCAGGAGGGGGAGTCATTGAGATCTACCTGAGCTCAAACTCTCCTCTCGCCTTGCAATAGGAGGGAGCCCAGGGCTCGAGGATCTTATAAGCTCAGGGCTCTCTCCCAGGACAGCACGCCAAACTAGCTTTACTATCAATCATCAGCTAAGTGTGAACTCTTGAGAGAAAGATATTGAGAAGAACAATCGCCAGTAAAGTCACTAAGTAAAGTTTATTTATAAACTAATTTGGAGATGATCATGTGATTATGATTGAACACGGCTGGTTCTGCATTAGCTATGTATGATCCACCAATCAGACGATTCCTAACCCACTATAAAGAGCCAGGGTTTCTCACTACAGTCATCTTCGATTTGAGGAATCCCCCCTTCCACCCCTACTCCTCCACCTTTTCCTTCATAGGGTGGCACGGTGGCTCAGTAGTTAGCACTGTTGCCTAACAGCAAGAATGTCAGCGGTTCTAGTCCGTTAACAGGCTGGCGGTCGGTTCTGTGCAAAGTTTGCATGTTCTTCCCGTGCTCGCGTGGGTTTCCCCCGGGTCCTCCGGTTTCCTCCCACATTCCAAACACATGCACAAGTGAATTGATCAATCTAAATTTAGCACTACAGTCAATCTCTCATCCTGCATTATATCTCATCATAGCATTCATTTTCTGTCACCAAGAAGGAAGTTCTCGAGACCTACCTGAGCTCAGAGCTCCCTTCTCGCCCTGCAAACGGAAGGGAGCCCAGGGCTCAAGGACCTTATAGGCACAACATGAAACAAAGAGCTGGAGATTTGTCTGCATATACAGTCTGTGGAAGAATGACTGAGTGTGTCTAACACACAACAGCCACGGGTATATTTCAGCAGCTGATGTGCGACACGATAAACATGCTGATTCGCATAATCACTGGTGACATGTCTGTTATCCTAAGATGCATCCATAATGTCAGGTTTCCACTTTTTTTCTTGTTAATCACTGAAATTGGCTAATTTGAGTTTGAGACCGCTGATATAAATTATGCATGAAAAAAGTGCAAAACATGATCTGCAAAAACTGAAATTGATGCACTAACATGGCAAAAACTTCAGCTAAAAACTTACATTTATTTACTAAAACTAAAAATTATGAACTAAAACTACGAAAAACTGCAGAATCACTCAATCTTACAAATGATGACCGCGGCCTCTAGAGCGCCTTTTAGAGATCAGAGGAGTGAGGTTTATCTGCACAGCACTTCACTGGCTGGTTACATCAGCAAACACTAAATAATATGCACTGAAATCTTTAAATACTGCACTGAATTATCGAATTTATTGCATATTTATTATTAAAAGTTCCTCCGTTTGCAGCTCTGTTTAAACCATAAATTTCTGCAAATTATTCATGATGACTAAACCAGGCATGCATCTATTAATACACAATCAATAAAACACAGCACCGC